ATGTTTTCACTGTTCCTTTATGTGAATAAAAGATGTGTATTTAAAGATTATATATATATACACTCACACACGTTATATATAAATATATCTATATGTAAAATGTCTATTTCCTAATGAATGCTTTAATTTTCTACTCCTCTTCTCCTGTGTTAACCGTATGAATACTCTTGGTGGTGGTGGGTTAAGGTGGATACGGTGAGCCAACTGATCAAGACATCCCCGTAGTGCAGTTGCCACATAATTCCTACCAAATCTATGACCCCGAGGACCTTTATGATGGTGAGCAACAGCCGTACGTAGTTCACGGGTCCTACCCCTTACCTTCCCCATACTCCCAGTCCTCCTATCCATCACCTCATCTTGCTCAACCAGAATTTACTCCTGTTCAAGAAGAGATGGAAGCTGCTGAACTGAGGTCCCCAGGAATTAGTCGTTTCAGAAGGAAGATAGCCAAAAGGAGCGTCAAGACTCCAGTACGCAAAAGGGCAAATGGGAAAAAACCCCCTCAATGAACTGTTTAAAGAAGGGAAACATTTTATGTGCATCTGTGTTTGGCCTTTTGTCCAGGTGCCTAACCTGTCATGGAAGATGTTTACAGGCTCTTACATTAAAGGAGATAAGTGTACATGACCAGTTGAGACAATAAATAACGGTAATTATCTTGCATGCCAGAAACTTAGTATGTTAGTGGGTTGGTGCTAGATGATGATGAAAGGTCACTTGTAGATCTTTCTCTGGAGTACTGTTCCATACACTATTCAAGCTGTATCTAAAAACCCCATCCAACTAGTTGGTGTACGTAGAACCATTCAGAAAAGTTAATATTTTGTTATCCATGTTTTTCCAGTTGATTATGTTCTGTTAGTTTTGGATGAATTACTTTACTAGCAGCGTAACATGACTAAATTCACTGCAGAACAATACATAATCAGGTTTCCTTGAACCCAGCTTATTACCCTTTTGCAAAGAAGTCTTATGTTACTGGAATATGTTTTTTAAAACCTGCATTTATATAAATACACAAGAACATTCTGTGGGAACATACTGATAATTTATTGTGAACCTCTTTCATTTCTGTTTTGTATGCAAATAAAAGTGGCAAGCTTTTATACATTAATTCTGTATTTGCTTGATTTTTAACTTGGAATGATTGTATAGATCTTTGGGGAACAGAAGGTAAAGAGAAGGAAATACATTTTTCCTTTTTCAACACTTGTGACGAGTTTTATTTTAAAGGATATAAGCACTTAGTATAAACAATATTTATCTTTATTTTAAAAATTATATATGAACAAGTGTAGAGAGTAACTATGAGAGGAGGTGGTCATACCATCTGTGGACATGAGCTTTTGCATATTGGTGTGCCAAAGTCAAAAGACTGGCAGGTATAGTCATGAAGGCAACTTGGACCAGCTGATGAGAGGAAGGAAAAACCCCATACAACCACTTGAGGAGCACAAAGCAATTCCCTATGCTGAAACAAGCCAGATAAATTATAAAGTGACTCAATAAAGCGGTTTGAACAGCACCATGGAGACTAAGTATTAAAGCAGGATTTAAAGAAGCTCAAGAATGTTCATACATTTAAATTGAAGTTAAAGATTTGGACCACTTTTAATCAAGCCCGATAAAGACTCTGAGAGAGGAGGCCCTGGGGATCCCAGGCCTCATCCGTGCTCACCCTGACTGGGTTTGGTTTGTTTGTGCTCAGGAAGGAAAGATCTTTCAGCTTTTGCTTCTGGCCACTTCCAGATGCTCTCTTAGCTCACCAGGAAGATGACAAACTGGTACCTTTGCTGTGTAATCTCAAATTAGCTGGCCTAGCATTCAGCCTCAGTGGTAGCACAAAGTTGCTAACACCCAGGGCTGTGCACAGCCCAGGGCAAGTCCTGGCGGGGTGGCTGTAAAACCTTCTGTGCTTCTGGTTCCTGTTCTCTCTCGCACCCCTAACTTGGAGAAGTGAGAAAAGGTGATGGAAATGTGAGTTAATGTCAGTTCCTTACCTGGACTTGCATTGAAAGTAGAAGGTAGAAAAGTATCACATAATTTACAGACTTTAAGCTTAACTCCTGTTTACAGACTACTGAAGCACCGAGTGAGCATGGCTGTGTGCGCACATGTGCAGAGCTGCCCGTCAGAGATATTACTAAAATCCAGGTTACAGCTGCATCACAAGATGAACCTCCCTGCTGCCCCGTGGCTGTGAACACCCACCTTCGCTTACCCCAGAGGTGACCTCTCTCCCTGCCCCGCCGTGATGTGCCCAGCTGTAGGTCATGCAGAAGTGACTGAGAAGGTCACTGGTGGAAAAAAATCAGCGTTAAAGCAATTCTGCCTCTGTTGTCTCAGAAAGACTTTAAGCCTTATGTTACAGTTTATAATAAATTTGCACCACAGCCTGGTTGTCAAGTAATGCTACACCCAAGCCTCAGTTCCTGTGGGACCAGGAGGAATGGTAGGGCAAAGCCAGGGCTGTAGGGAACACAGCATACCACAGGCACATGCATCAAAATAAGGCAAGTGGTGCTACTTGTCCCATGTGTGCAATGGACAGTAACGGCCTGACCAAATCCCTGTGTGGTCGGTGTCACCTACACTGTGCCTCTCCTCCCCAGCAGCTCCCCCCGGTCCCAGCTCCAGCCTCCCGGGCTGGGGAGCAGCTGGAAGCAGCACAGCACCCCCGTCCCCACCTGTGGGACATGCTGCCACCGCCCCACCGTCCCCTCATGCCATATGGGATGTACAAGCAGTGACTTAAACAAGAGATTACTTGAGGTAATAAAGTAGGCATACTCATTACAATTGTATAACTTAATTTATATACTAGAGCACAAACTTTAATTGCACTAGTTAAGTTGCTTTAACTTTGTAATGACATTTACTGGCACCTGCTAACCAGAATGCTTCATGTCATCTGTTTGCTTGCTGGGTACACCCCGGTAAGAAAAAGTAACTGATGGGCGCTACCAAGTTATCAAAATATTATTCAGGATTTGTACCTTTGCCAACGAAAGTAAGACACAGATGCATATGGTCAACATTTTCTCCAAAATCCACTCTCTGACTAGTCAGGAGTGTCATGTATTTTTCCAGACTGCCTAAGAATCTTAAATTGCTGACTGTGAAGTATTTAGCACATGATGAACAGCTGATGCCACCCACATCTTACCAATAAAGTATATGTACTGTGTCCTTACACTAAAAAGAGCATTTACTTTAACTTATTGCTTTAAAAATACATTTACTAGTTACCTAAAGGTGGTTACTGACTTGGAAATGAAGTCTGCATGTTCACTGAATTGGAATATTTCCTGGGATAAACTCATCTGAATGCCAAAGAAATGCCTGATACCAAGCCGTTATTTCATATGATTATAAATAAACCAGTGGGTTTTTTCCTAGAGGATGCTTGTATAAAACAGATCCAGAAGACACAAATTTTCCTCACCAAATATTGTAAAATTTGGCAGATAACAGATCAGCATCTTCTACTGTACAGAAACCAATAGGTGCATCAGTTTTTTAGCCAACTGCGCAGAAAAGCAATAATTAACATCAAGGAAGTAATGTGCAGAAGCAAAATAATTTTAACGACTTACTTTGCATAATTCAACACAAATTCAGTTTCTTCATTTGGTTTTCACAATAAAAATGTTGCTGCATCATTCTTTAATATATTTTTTAAGTAAGGAAGGCGTGTTCTGTGACTTGAATCAAAATCAGATTTGGGCTTAAGAGGGGGAAAAAAGGAAGTGTGTCTCCATATGATCTGCCTTTACTGTCTGTTATTTCAATAAACTCTCTAACAAAATTGATGTTGGGTTGTCAGCAGACCTGCTCCAAGAGAGGAAGAGCCACTTAAGAAAACACACTGCCCTGCCCCAAATGGGTGTTTTAGTTGGTCAACAGCACCACGAGTCTGAAGGGGCCCATCTTCCGCAGCTAAGCCCAGGTGGAGCAGTTCTGCTTTCTAAGGCAGGCAGAACATTAGGGATATCAACTCCGCTGTTGACAATCATGTAACATCTTCATATCAAGAATTAAATAGTACTAGGAATATTTAATACCATTCAGCAGCTAGAAAGTAGAGAAGAGTCAACTTTGATGTTGCCATTCAGCACATGAGTCTGAAAAACACTAACATTTTTAAAACAGACGTAGTTCCCATTCCATTCGTTCCACTGTCCCTGGAGGCATACCTTGCATCCAAACAGAAAGTTGGTAGGAAATCTAACAGACAGTATCACCTCTGAAATTCATGCTGTCCTTGCTGCTCTGCAGTATTCCAGCAGTAAGTTCTGCTGGAACTGCAATGTCACTCTTCCAGCATCCAAGGCACTTCAGTCACCATAAAATGCTGCAGTCTCCTCCCTGTAGCACACAGGCCTTCTGTAGCACAGACTGATTTCCCCCGGCTTCCTTTTCAGTGTGCCAAGCACACCATGTGGGATAGCACATCAAAAGATGGCCAAAGCTTCAGGATGAAAAATTATGGTTGGTGACAAAATACTTCTTTGGTCACAACGAAGAGGCTAAACCACAGACGAAGCACATTGTGTGGAAAAACTCTTTCTAGAAGGTTGCTAAAGATTGCAAGATAAATTCCAACAAGACATAAAAAAATGACCTTCACAAATCTCACCACCTCCTCATTCCTCCAAGATGCATCTTTTAATAATATTTTTTATATCTCTTAACAGGACTCCAGTACGCACACATGCACGTTTGGTACTTGCATTGCTTTCTCTGAAGAGTTGTGGTTTTGGTGTAATTCGGCTCTGAAGTAAGTTTGCTTTTGCTTAGCACCACCACAGTAAATTCAGTGGGTATAGTCACCTAAAAACAAGGAAACTGCAGGCCCGCACAGACATGCATTCAAGCAACATCTCACCATTAATGCCATACAGTATACCCCCCCCCTGCATTCTAGAAAAGGCTTTCAGAAGAACTGCATAGTCTGTTACAGAAATAATAAACAGCTCAAGCCATTGGGTTTTTTTACATCCCCAAAGACAGAATGAGTTCTACACCAACAATTCCCTTTTTCTGAACTAAGACTGGCATTCTCACACTCATTACACTCTAAGGATGCATCACCTGTTTTGCCAAAGAGCAAATCAGATCAATTACTGACAGTGAGCTGTTCATGGGAACAATGTGACCAGAAATATTCACTGCTCTTACTTCATGGAATTCAAGTTTTGCAACTTTTAGAGCGAGATACTTCATTTCAGCAAACAATGTACTGTTTCCGTGAGATGTAAATATTCATTACAAATGTATCAATTCTTTAATAATAGAATGAAAATAAATGTAATTAAATATCAGATCATACAACAGAGTACAGTTGGTATTAACAAAGTAGTATCTCTTCTTAACTGTTTCAAATACAATAATTTTTATAATCTTTCCAAATACAACACCTGTCAAAAACATTCTGTACAGAAGGGTTGACTGAGATGCACAGATGCTTCCATGTTAAAAATAACTTCTTTTCAAGGAGGAGAGACATTCCCAATGGCACTTCTTTTATTGTTATTACTTCCTTCGAAAATCTTTAGGTCTGGGGAAAAAAAAAAAAAAAAAAAGTTGCTTTAAGAAATATATGGGAATTGCAGTGACTTTGCTTTAAGGATGCAGTAACAGCCATATCTATGTTTATTTCCTTATTCTGGTGCTTGAAGGTTTTGTGCTGATGAAGAATAGTATTTTCTGGATTACAGAAGAAAGACAGAACAAATCAAAGACGTTTATTAAGATCTCTAAGAATTTACAGATATTGGGACTAGTCAAGGTGTTTCTTATGAGCCACTCCTATTTTCCAAAGCAAAACAAATAGCATCTTTAAGCAAATGCAGTCTCACAATGACTTTAAACATGAATATTAATTTTTCTCCACTTCTAAAAAATTAGTAACCCGTGCATAAGATAGCAAGTTTTAAGTTAACAGCATAGTCCACCACAACACTACTAGAATAATTAAGACTGGTGATTTAAAGAAAACCTAAAATCTTAAAGGTTCTGTAATCCCTTCTGCTTGGGTGACAAATGCAGAAACCACTCAGACAACAGAGCGTTGTTTGTAATCCTCTGCCATTTCCCATCCAAAAGTATGTCACTCTCCCTGCCTGCCACACATCCACCGGCCGCAGAAACCACATTCTCCCTGAACCTACAAGGTTCAGACTAGATCATGGGCTTTAGAAGAATGCTACGTTTGAAGGCTAGATGCAAGCCCACATCCCTAACAGGTCCTGGAGAGAAGTTAGGTCTCTGCCCAGCCACTTCTAAAAAAAGGGAACAGTACAGGTCCCTGCCGTGCCTGGGGTGCACAGCGCGTGCGCACGGCGTCAGCGGGCTGCTCCTCACAGCACACTGCACCCCACGCTAACACACTGCCCACGACAGTACGACCTGCCCCAAATACAGCGGCCCTTTGTTCTTGACTCTTCTGATTGCTTCTTGCATATACAAGTCAAACCAGGTAATGTGAACTAGGTCTCACTAGAACTGAACAAGAGATGTAATAACCAAGGTTTTGTAAGCATGTAATGGGATACAGGGTCAGCGGATTTGCTGTGAAGTTGAATGAAAACAGTCTGGAATTCAGGAAAGGCTCCAATCCACAACAATAAACCAAAACAGTAAACCAAGTGAAATTTACAGTGGTGATAAATTTTATCATTAATTCTGTTCATCAATGCAAATTAAAAGCAGATAGCAATGGAAGCAGGGAGCTTACTTTGGAGACAGATTTTAGATGGCTGCAGAGATGCCATATGGAAATCTAACACTTAATTAGTCATTAAAATCTTACGTTGCAGATCTAGTGTTTTTCAACCAATAGCACTGCAAAGTGAGGTTATTCATGCAATTCCTGTACAAGCCTATAGGTTCTTATTGTGAAAGCAACTCTGGAATTCAGACTGTGCTATTTCAAGTCTAACATGAAATTTGATGATTATATGAATTTTAGAGAACAACTATGACGACAAGCTAGTGTTCATACTGTAATGAATCATAAGCTTCTTTGTTTTCCATTTAAATGGCATATTCTGTACTAACATTTGGACATGTATCTCTTGTGCATGAAAGAACTGCTGTAAGTACGATACCCATTGTTTACATACTTAACGCTGGACTTGAACATACTCCACGTTTGATGGCAAGAATGCACTGCAAAGTCAAGTCACGTTTCCTAAAATCCTGGATTTCAGTTCTCAGACACATTCCACATTTTGTAACTCAGATCACATCCCCGCATACCAGAATATATATCGCATTATATCACACTGTGCCGTATTAAGAGAGTGGGATTTTGAGAAAGTCTCAGCAGTGCCTTTAGAAGTTTTATCACGGCATCTATCCTAGACAGGTGGGCCAGTGCTGAAGGGTTTTAGAGGTGCAGCATGGTAAAGACATCATTGTCTTGCACCTTATAGTTATCACTCTTTTTTTATAGGCCAATTCATCCTCTTACACATTGCTCAAAGTATTTTGCATTTTTCTTCGAATGGCACATTTAACACTTCAATCTAGGGTTATGTTGGAGTGCAGCAGAGCTAAGGGTCTCACAGTTCTTATTCTGCGGTGAAAACCTCCCCCTTTTTTTCTTTCTTGTAATCTGCATTTCAGCGTTAATGCTCACTGCCTTAAAAGTTAAATGCATAAAACACTGGGCTCTTAGTTTGCAGTCTTACAAAGTTAATGAAGCTTAAAGGTAGGATTTTCTACACTGAAACACTTGTGTGAATAAATACAAAAGTTTTTAAAGCCTTTTCTATTGCCATAGTAGGCTTTTCTGCCTACTAGTACTTGGCTTTTGGAGGCCACAATCTCTGCCTTTAAAGAGTCTTCATTAAGCCTTGAAAAACACTGCCTTTGGGAAATAAATATTTTGTCAGCTGAAGAATATGAACCCACAAAAACCTTGTCTACTCAGAAAGAATTATGAACTACTTGTGAACATCAGTGGATAACTGCTCATTGATAAATGACATAAATCCATGCAAGAGTGTCCTTTGATGGCAGCGCTTTGCCCTTCCTCAGCAGAGCACTGGGATTATGCATTTGGAACCAAGGAAATGGTATCTCCTAGAAGAGATGGTTCAGAAATTCACCCAAAGGCAAGACTTCACATAGCTGTTGGGTTTTTTTGTAAAAGGTAACATTCTTGGGGGAAAAAAAATAATTGCTGTATATTGACAGCAGGCTCCAAGACAGGAGAAATAGGAGGCAGAATGCAGTAACTAGCATTTCTGAAATCTATGCTGAAAGGCAAAGTATTATGGATGGGTTCACTGAAAATATGCAACATTAGTCTGTGCAGCAGATGTCTGCCACCAAAGCACATTAAAAAAAGTAATTGTCCCACTAACATTTTATACAGCACATAAAAAGCATTAAGACAGAGTCCAGTGAATTCTAGGCAAAATACTCCGCAAATTAAATTGACATCCAATTCCACCACGCCTCTCAGTGCTTCTCTCTCAACAAATCCTTTACAATTGAGTAAAAGACACTGAAGAGATGATCCTAAACTAGTTACAGATTTTAGATCTTTTAATTCTCCCAACTTTTTTCCAGGCTCACAGCTATCAGAAGAGGAATACAGTTGACGTAAAATTTTGGCAACCCACAGTCACTGAACCTTACAAACCAGATAAGCCTGCGCATCTGTGCAGTTCATAGGATCAGTTTTTTCCACAGTAAGCAAAAGGTTCTCAGTGGTCCCCACTGTAACTGGTAGCGCTTTTGTCTTCTCAGAACTGCAGAATTAAGGTATTCCAAACAAATGTTGTCTTTTGGTACAGATGCCAGCCCCACGCTCTTGATCACTAAAGAAATCAAATGGACCAAGACAGTTTTCCCATTTACAGGGAAACTATAAATTTTCTGCTTTGTTCCCACTTCAAGAAGTAAGACTGAGGTCAAACTAAACCCTAGAAGACAGGCTAAGGTTTTCTATGGAGGCACGGTAGGTCTGATTCAGTCTATTCTATACTCGGATTTCCCTCACATATACCTGAGCATACCTCTTTATAAAACAATAGTCTACAAAGCTTTTCTACTCAAATATGTCAAATCACTAAATAGCCTTGAATTTGCCTTCATTTTGAAAAGGACTGCTATTCTTATCTCTTAATCAGTGCCAGCTGTTAATTGTAATAATTTCAGCAAGTGTTAATCCAGTCTACAATACAGAGAAAGAGTACAATATCAGGAGTGAATGTGAATGCCTTTAAAAAAAAAAATAATTCTGAAACTAAGTTCCATTATGTAACAAAGTAAGCCAAAAGCCTCCTTAAAACATCAAAATCATATCATATATATCTATATGCACTTACAGTTTGTGTCTTTTGAGCTTCCACCATAAACTCCACATCAGAGAAGCTCTATCACTGACAGGAGTAATGCTACTGTTGCATATGATATATTATAAATCATATAGTTAAAACTACTGCGGTCCTGTGACATTTCCAGTTTACAATTCTGTAGAAAGCAGAAATAAAACTTTGTATTTACTCAGGAAACAAGTTATTCAGAGTGTAAGAGAAAACAGAACTGAAGGCAGATTAACAAGACTGAACTGTAAATATTAATTTCAAAATGGGAATTAAGATTAAATAATCTTCATTGAAAAATCCTTAAATATATTACATCATTGTCTCAAGATTAGAAAACAAAAGTTCTCAACTTCCTGTTCTGCCTCTTTATAACTTATTCCAAGATATCAACAGATTCTGAATAAAATATTAAGAAGAAAATAGTGGGAAGCCAGTTCTTCCTGGCTCACTACTACAAACTATTTTCAGCATGCAATTAGCAAACACAAAGTGATCTCCAAGAAAGGGATCTGTGACTGCCTGTGGCCCATGAAGACTCTATATGCAGTCTGCAGCATTACAGGCTCAGCAGAGCAGAGAGAGGAATAGCACAACTGATTTATAAAATTAAGAGAAGCTTGTTTCATATTCTAAAGATAAAGGAACTGAACATCCTTATTATAGGGCTTTGTGAATCTCAACATGCTTTCATAATTATTTGAATGTAATGAAAATCACGGGCTAACTGTCACTGTGTATAAAGGATAAAATGTCCACTTGTGAACAAACTGTTAAAGGCTGGATCTGAACCACTCAACAGAATATGCAAAATGCTGGCGGGAATTAAGGATCAAATGGAACAGTTATTTAAATTCTCAGAAATAATGTGCCACACCTGGAGTACTGTGTTCAGTTCTGGGCTCTGCAGTACAAGCGAGACATGGGCATACTGGAAATCCAGTAAAGGGCCACGAAGATGATTATGGGACTGGAGCACCTCACATATGAGGACAGGCTGAGAGCGCTGTGACTGTTCAGCCTGGAGAAGGCTCAGGAGGATTTCATCAAAGTCTATAAATACCTGAGAGGGTGCAGAGAGGACAGAGCCAGGCTCTTTTCAGTGGAGCCCAGCAACAGGACCAGAGGCAATGGCCACAAACTGAAACACAGGATGTACTGTCTGAACATCAGGAAACACTTTTTTAGTGTGAGGGTGACTGAGCACTGAAGCAGGTTG